TGCAATATTTGTTATTAATTTGCTTAAATAAATATTTAGCCTTACAACCTGAACTCGGAATATATGTGTATATAATCTTAATGCAATGTTCATAAGATGAATAACAATGTTAGTGAATTTACGTAATAACGCAGGGAAATTTAATTTGAAAACTAATAAAGTGTTCTCGTATAATTAAAACAAATGTTTTCTCCTCAGCTGTTATTTTGACGAGTAATTAGTGTTTAGTATACATAATAGTTATAATTGTTGCTTATTCACATTTGATAAGTCAATACTCATTTTATGCATTTATTATATATTTGTCACATCGTCAAATAATTTGAAAATATTACAAGGATATAAACCTAATGTACAGTTAAAGGATATTAAATTGTTGTTTAAATTATAATTTAAATTGTGACAGATTTTATTTAAACATTTTTCAATAAGATATGAAAAGATAGTGAATGTTATTGTTCAATAATATTAGAAAGGATCATTAAATTGACGAAGGATCGAGTATTTTTTTTATAAATAAGTCCATTATGAATAATATGTATCTTATTTTTTTGCAGAGCACAGGCAGTGGACGACTAAAATTCAATGATTTTAAAGACCTGATGTGCAGCCTAAAATATTGGCAGACGGTTTTCAAGAATCATTCAAAAGACAAGACTGGTATTCTGAAAGCTGAACGGTTAAAGGATGCGCTGCTTGAGGTGGGCTTTCAAGTGAACACCGAAGTGTTGTCAATTCTCATACTTAGATACATGCGAAAGGACGGTACATTGAGATTCGGCGATTTTGTCTCTGCCATACTGCACCTAAGCATCGCATTTAATTTGTTTGAGTCGAAGGATCCGCTTCTCAACGGTAACATCAAGCTAAATCTTGCCGAATGGCTCAAATCCGCGTTCGTGTGCTGACGAGTACCAGCGGTTCTTTGCTCAATTCATTTTTTGTTTGACAAAAGCCTAATTGTGATTATATAATTTTGTACCTTCCTCGACTGTAAACTTTTATTTTATTTCGTTATGAATATTATTATAATCACTTTATCATTTATATATTCTTTTTAAGTTCAAAATGGACAATTATCCTAGTTTAATAATATTATAATATAAATTAGGTTTCGATTACCGTTTGAACTTTGAGTTATGTTATGAGTCAGAGAACCAATGTATTATTATAATAACGTTTTACTTCAATTTCAACGTTACTATACCTATTTTAAAAATAGTTTATAGATATTATTGTTTTTTTTTTTTTTTTTTTGAATTATTATTATTATTAAATTTAACTAAATTGTTGTTTACGCATTAATTGTTAATTATTATTTTACTTTATAAACCAGTTTTGGAAAAAAAAAAATCTCATACTTTATTTAACATTTATTATAATTTATTATTATTTAGTTTAATCCTATACATTTTAAGCAAATCAACCTAATCAATTAGAAAATTGTTAAGTTTTTAGATGATTTATTTAAATAAACGTGAACGAGTATTTTGTTTTGGTGTCGCTATTGTAACAAGATATGAAAAATATTCCATTAAGTAAATAAATATAGGTAAGGATACCGATTTAAAATTATATTTCAACTGCCTTCTAATTATAAAAAAAAAAAAAAAACAGTTTTAAAAATTGTAATAATATACTAAATTAAATATAATTTTATTACATAAATTATATTATTTCAGGTGGTTCTTTTTATTTTAATCTATATAGCAGTCTGTGATCTCAAGAAAAAATGAAACCTCATATAGTAAACCGTATCAGTTGATAGGGAATGGTAAATCGGAAAATTGAAAAAATAAAAATCATATATTGCAACTGGTCACAAAAGTTGATTGTTCACAATTCTTCACGCACTCATTGAAAAATCAAAAATTATGTTGAGACGTTAGACAGCGTTGCCGTTATCGTCCTGGTTCATTGACGGGATTTAAGTACTTGCCAATAATAAATTGCTTGCTTATAAAATAATATAAATATAATTTATGATTATATCTACGAATAAATATGTTCCATAATACCGTTTGTGTTATAATTTTATCGTATTCACATCATACTAAGATTCACCTTACGAGCCAATTGTATAGGCAACTTAATTAACACATTCAATGTCAACAAGTATCCAATGAATATTATATGAATTTTTATTATGTTTCAAAATACTCGACTAATTGTGTATGTCCATAATATTTGGGTTAGCCATTCAGTATTTATTTTTAAATAATTTGGTACAGTTGGTTTTTAGTTTCGTCATTTTTTTTTGATTGTGGGAAGGTTTTTATTATTTAAAAAAATTATTATTAACGTCGGCATTAAACGTGTTAAATTATTTTGTTTCATTTTTTAGATCGATGGGCAACGCATCTAATATTTCACAATAATTAAATTGTAAGCATAGAAATCAAATTTAAATTTATAAAGTACTTTATGATTACAAGTACAAAGGTACCTAAATACAATAATTAAAATATAATTTTATTTTTATTTTATAAAAAAAAAAAAAACAAAGCAATTAAGTACATTCATAACTAAACTATACGTGATAAATTAGGATATTTTTTATTTGTTTCATTCACTGTATCTAATAACTAAAATGAACGTCGTTTCTAGAATCTCTTAGTCATAATTTATTCTCATTTGCAAGTAGGTACCATTAATATTTTAATTTAAAAAAAAGTGAATCTTCATAATAAATTATAATATTAAAACTTTTAGGTATTGTATCTTTAATATAAATATTAACTATAATTTAATAATGTAAATTATTATTAGAATTTATAATTTTCTTGAATTCCGATGGCCTATATTACCGCCAGTTTTTATCTAACAATAACTCATTCTTAAATATAAACTTTAAATATACGATATTTTTGTATTATTTTAGTCATTAGACTATTTATTGGAATATCACATTTTATTATGTGTTCGATTTTATTTTAATTTAACATATTTTATGAAATAAAGATATAGGTAAAATCATACATTTTTTTTCACAAAATAAATAGATGCTTATTCGCAGGTACATAAGTTTTATGAAGTGTTTATTTATAGCTGTTAGTTACAGGCCTGAATGCTAAAATCAAACTATAATATAAATGCATAGATTAAACATTTAAAGCGTACAATAATAACAATATTAAAATATAACAATTTTCTGTGGGATTAAAATCAACAGGGTTTTCACTTTGGCTTCAGTTCTTGAAAATAATGTAGTAGGAAATCATAATATTATTACTTAACGTTAACTGTAATTTTAGGAACATTGTTACTTTGCCAGACACCCTTCCTTTTATTAGCAATTTTTTTAAACTCGTATAATAGTTAGATATACATACGTATCATATATTATAATTTATAATAGCAACCAGACCAGTGGGTGTGGCGAGTATATAATCAGTGTAAGTATTGCTACAAATTTTTGTTGTAAAATGTTACGAGTGTATTTTTAAATTACCAATTTAAAATTTAATTAAAGCCATGATCAAGTTCTCGTAATTTTAAATTATATATTATTATATTTTTTTGATGGTGTACTATTATTTTTTATGTACTTATTATTGTTATTTGTTTGTAATCTAAAAATAACATCGTTAGTTTCAAACGTTTCGGCCATCGGAAGATAACAAGCCGAGAATACTCGGTAAAATGTCTCCTGGACCACCAGTTCATGAAAGTTCAGGTTTATTACACAATGCGTTCTCTATAAATATAAGAAGTATGACGTTTATGTATAAGCGATTCTAATTCCCTTTCTTACTTTGTAAAAGAGACTATTATAGTTTATACTATAAAAATAATTGCATTGGAAATAGTGTAAAAGGTGGCGTTACTGGAAAATAAGCGGTTTTGAAATGTGTACACGACCAATCGTTTTTATTGACATTAGGTTTATATTTATGTATATATATAATATATATAGGTAAATACAAGTCATAGTAATTGCAATTGTTCTAATTTTTATTAAATTTTTATTGTATTAACATCTTATAAATACATTTTGATATAAAATTCTTAAAATCTTATTAAACGATTTTAGAATATACTATAAATATACTATAATTAAGAGAGATCCATTAGAGAAAATTAATTCCTGAATATTTAAATTTTATTATAATATCAATTTTTTTCAATAAGTTCTTTTTTTTTTTTTTTATTCATATATCATTTATATTTAAAATAAAACTAAAACTGTAAAACTTAAACACATGACCATTTTTTTGGGTATAAATACTTATTACATAATTTGTTATAGTATTTTAAAACTTTTACACTTAGCTACATTTTAGTTGTACATTTAACTACCAACTACCATAATGTTTGTGTTTTTCAATTACACACTATTGCTCTGTATCCAGGGAAATTTTTGAACTATTATATTAATTTGTTTACTATTATTTTTGTTAATTACAAATTATTTATTGTATATTAGTATATTACCAGTTATCGCTTGAGAAATGGAGTTTTTTAGTTTTTGTAAGACTTATGATAGACAATGCTGATTTCCACACCACCCTAAAGGTATAATAATTCGTGAAATAGTTGCCTTTTAACACGAAAAATAGTATACAAAATGTACGAGATATAAAAAAAAGAATAATACAATTACAAAATTCGGGTTTTCTGTCGAGACTCAATATCTATCCACTATCTTTTTTTTTCGTGTCCTAATTGGCCGAGAAAAATAATTCGGGACCTGATTAACTAGCCCCGTTAACAATAATAATAATCGTTTTCATACCGTTAAAAAAACTGAATTAACATTTCGCTAAAGAGACTGCGGTAACATAATATAATATGCAATTATAATATCATATAATATCGTATTGTAGGCGCCGTAAAAAAATTTTAAGAACGCACACGATATTATAAAATCGTATCGCTATTTAATAACAATTATGTACAATACACCAACGCGTATAACATATCATATCATATTATATACATATATACACATAAATATAATAACTTTTAGACTAAAACGTTTAATAAGTAAAAAATGACACGTAAAAATAATAATAATAATAAAAATAATAAAATATAACTCGCGTGGTTCGCGTGTTGTGATAAGTATAATATAGATGATTTACGCGGATGGCGCGGGACGCGATGACATGAACGACGTCGTATAAGGGCCGTCCTCCTAGAGCTGCTTGTCGTGCACCTGACGGCTGCTGCACGTGCGGCAGCGGCGGTGACGGCGGCGGCTGCTGCTGCGGCGGTGGACGTCGCGCCGACCGCTCAGGCACGGCTTGAACAGTTCGGCGACGAGCGCCTCGACGAGGTGGACAGTGGTCCTGAGCACCCGATCCACGCTGGTCGCCGACTGTTGGTGGTACATGCTGATGGGCGCCCGCCACGGGCTCATGGTGAAGTGGACGGACCGGGCCACGGACGCGGTGGCCGCCACCGCGAGTCGGGACCGCTGCTGCTGTTGCTGCTGCGGGTCGGCCGCGGCCGCGCAGTCGTCCACGCATCCGTAGTTCTTCATGCGCACCGTCGCGCCCACGTCGTCGAGCTCGGCGAGCAGCGACCGCTGGGCGGCCGTCTTCTGGGCGGCCGTGGCCCGGGCGTCGGCCAGCGTCCGGAGCGCCGCCTTGATGCACTTGTCCATGACGGCCATCTGGACCACGACGTTGGTCGGATGATAGTCACCGGCCATGACCGTGTCGTAGATGCCTTCGAGCGCGGCGCATATGCGCTTGGCGTACCCGGTGCAGTACAGGTTGGCGAAGTTGGCCGCCTCGTTGATCTCGACCACGAAATTCTCCACCGAGAACACGGGCCGCGTGCTGCACCGGAGCGCGGCCACGGCCAACCCGACGGCCCGGCACATGCTCTGCCGGCAGCACGCGTCCACCCGGGTGGTCAACAGCGACTGGGCCGCCGACCTGAGCGTGCCGTACACGCGATCCGCGTCCACGCGGGCCGGTCGTCGTTGCTGGCCGTCGCCGGCCGGCGGGCGGAGTGATGCGGACAGGCCGACCAGCTGTTCGTACACGGCCTGGCTGACCGCGTGCTCCGGAGTCTGGTACAGCACCAGGTGCGCGATGGCCTCCAGGTGGTCGCTGAGCACCGCGTCCCACGTCTCCACCACGCAGCCGCGCACGTACTCCGATCCCAGACACCCGTCCAGCACGGCCACCAGACGTTCGGCGTCCAACAAGTCGGGCAGGCGCCGGGCGTCCAGGAGGTCGAACGACGTGGCCGCGACCGCGGTGGTCGTCCGGCCCGACGACAGTCGCCTGCGGGTCGTGTTCGTGTCCACGGCAACCGTGGTCGAACAGCTCGAATACGATCCGCTGCTGTCGTCGTCGTCTTCGTCTTCTTCGTCCTCGTCCTCGTCCTCGTCGTCGTCGCTACAACAACAACTCTCGCAATTGCGATTCGCCATCGTACCGGTGCGGTTGTCCTCCGCCCGTTCCCGCCTGACTGAAGTCAAAAAAAAAAAAAAAAAACGAAAAGTGAGTGCACCGAAGTCAACAATACGCACTAAGTCGGTAAGTCATATATTGTATTATTGTGATTAGATAGATCGGATTTTGATGCGATCGCATCGCTTTTTATTGCACGTTCTAAAACGGAAGTTATAAATCCGAATCGCGCGAACTGGTTTAACTCGCACAGAGTTTTTATTTTGCACGGTTCGGCGGGGTTTTTTCGATTAAATTACGCGTTTTCAATTTTATTTCATCGAAATACATTTGTTCTATTGTCATTAGTATAATATTATTACGAGCATCATATATATTTTATAATGTAGTTTTTACTATTTTATCGATGTTGTCAGACGCTTGGGACTTAATTTATACCAAAGAGTTACTATTACATTGTTAATCAGGAAAAAAATTACTTTGTTATCTACAACTGTGAGCAAATATTTTGATTGGATTACGAGAAAAAAATTATTAATATTCACATTATTATTTATTTATTTTTTTTTTATTAATGTCATTATAATATTGAAAAAAAGAGTCTTGGTGAAATATATCCCCCCTCCGGGGGTTATATTCACCTACCGTTTGACTGTCAATGGTGCGTAGCATATTTAGACTCATGTAGAGTGTGATAGATTAGCATTAGTGGAATGTTTGTTTGACTCGATTCTTGATGTTTGGAACTGACTACACGGAATAAAATTATTAATTTACTTATAATATTGACATAAATAGTGTAGTACTTTGATATGGTTTAATATAATAAGAACTACGGTTGCTTAACGAACTGTGATAAATAGACACATTATATTGTATAAATATAATATGATATTTAATTATATTCTGTAGAGCACTAGAGCATAGACTACAGGTTAAATTGATAATCACATAAAATAGGCGTGAGGTTAGTAAAAAAATAAATATATTTTACTTTGTACTGAACCAAGTACAAATATATTTTAGATTTTATAAAATTATGGTTACGAGTTTTCTAGAAGAGTTTTATTCATTTTAGGTTTCCTTAGCTAGAGCTTGGGAAGTCGAGGAATGAAGATGAAGCCTCTCACGACTTTGTACATCATAATATGTAAAATGTGAAGTACAGACATTTAGATATTTTAGCTTCTGGATGAGTTGTAATAGTTAACAGTTTTGAAAACTAAGCATGGTTTTATAAGCTTGGCCTAATTGTAATATAGTCATTTTAAAATTGTTACTTTTCCAAATAGGACTCTTATTTTATACGCGATATAATTTTATACGTAATTTTGGTGAACCAATTGTGAATATTAGAAGTTTGTGTACTTAGTTTTTATGAATAGTTTGAATTTTTTTAATACTTATAATTTATAAAATATAATGGAGTATAACAATTAATACTTGTATTATAGAAATGCAGAACAAAATCATAACTAATTAGTATTGAATATTTATGAAATATTATATCTATGTGTTTGTATAGTACTATATACCAAAATAATTGCAAAATATATTGTGTTTAGTATTTTGATTGTGTGAAAAACATCTTTTAGAATTCAAAAAATAATTATAACGAATGCGATATTTGCAAATTATCAAGGCCTCCCGCAGAAATTTTTCTCAGGGGAGGCTAGCGAAAAATAATACACTTACCATAAATTTTGTTTTTTATATCACATCGTAAAAAAATTATTTATTTATTTTAATATTGCAAGTGTCACCTTATCAGTTATCAGTCCTCCTTATCGCCCTCCAAGACGCTATATAAAATGCAAATAAATGCAATAAAAATTAAGTAATATCTTAATTAGCGGGGTTAGGTTAGGTTAGGTTGCCCTCTCCGCCCTCTCCTTGCGGGCGGCCTTGCAAATTATAACCTATTTTAAAACTCACCGACATTAGATTCATATTTTTTCCGTCGTGTGTTTATTAAGATGATAATATAGTAATTAATTATAGTCAATTTAAAATAATTAATAATTAAATATTTCTGAATATATACTCGTGTAAACCGAACACATTATGTGAACAGCAAAATATGAATATTTTATATTGATTTCTTACATGTCTAATTATGTATTAGTAAACACCGAACAGTTTGAATATAAATTTAAAAAATAATATTATTATTTTACTTGAAACCCATGCGATTACTTTATCTATCACTATCACTCACTTTTTATACATCAAATATATGTCAAAATAGATACTTCAGTTTATTTAAGCATATATGTATATATATACTACAAAACATAAATTATAGTATTTATATTATCATACCTATTTAATTTCATGATGACTAAAACTAGTTTAACTTATTAATTTTAAAATTAAAACCACAACTTTATTTTTTATAGAAGTCATATTATTAGGTTTAATCTAGGACTGTCAATTTATTTACCTACTTATTTAATGTTATTAAATTACAATACCTTAATTTATAGTTTACATTATATAGTAAGTACTTATACTATACAAGGATCGTAACTCGTTAAGTTATTTTTATTTTAATATTAAATTTTTAAATGAATCGAAAAACCGTACATATACCACAAGTAATAAACGACAACGTAATAAGTATACCAAGGTAATACCAAAATCGTACGAAAATCAAAATACAATTTAATTTTATAAATTTTTAATTAATGTTACGATTCTTTTTAAGTTATATTAAAACAATAAAACCACCTGGCCTATTCAATCATGAATCTGTTTTATTTTGTTTTTTACAAAACTAAATTATTTTAGTTTAAAATTTAAATCTTATCATTAAAATTCGTACAATTTAGTTAAAGTGATAATAATTGGTTAATCAAAAATATTGCTATGATTAAGTTTAATGTTTATTTGCGTAATTTCTAGGTGTGCTATTTATCTAACTTTGCACTTAAGCTAATACAATAGGACAAAAGTCCAACGTTGGCAAGTCTGTGACCTTCAGCTCATACAATAGTGTACGTCTATTTATAAAAGTTTATAATTTACCTAATGAATTATCTTGTAAGAATTGTAAAAAACGATCTCATCTTTTTGTATGAATATATTATTTTACACGAGTTCTGTTCCGAAAACGAGTTAACAATTGCCGTTAAACAGAAAACGGGCATCGCATAAAACAAAAAAACATCGCACGAAGATAATCGCTTAGTCTTATTATCAATACTATGTACCGAGAAATAATCGCGAATCGAAAATTTCATTAGTGGAGAATGATGAGCAGGCTGATCTTTCAGGCCCGATATAGTACCTATATTAAACTCGTATAATATAATAATATTTTAATTTAATTTAAATATATAGTATCTACATTCTACGTTATTATACTTAAACAACTGTTGTTGTTAGGTCCCGATCTTTGCTGTCACAGGACTACTGGTGGTTGGAAACGAAGGCGCGTATTGGATTTTCGTATAAAAGACGTGTCAAACTGGTTTTTTAATTTTATTATTATCATTTTTTTTTGTAGTTTTTTGTTTTTTTATTTTATAAGTGACACGCGGGCTTAGAAGAAAAAAAGGTTACCCAAACTCGTTCGCCTTATCGCGTAGAACGATCATCAGCTCAACCCCGAACCCTTTTGGGGTTAAAAAAAAACTTTCAAATATTATCACGATAATAAATAATAATAATTATTATTATTATATTACACGTGCACACCGAAGCGTTTACTGGGATAACTTAATAGTGTTATTTAGATTCGTAACGCAAGGATTATGACCATACACCAGGAACGGAATTTCATGAGTGCACCGTCTCACGTGATTAATTATTTTTCAATGTTAAAAATCTAAAACACATTAAGCTTATTTTGATTAATTTATATTATCTCTCACTTCATGTACATTTTATAATATTCAATAGTTAGTCATAATATTTCACGTATTTTATATTCTAATCAACTACGAGTTAACAACCAGTTTGAAAAAGGTTTGTCTAGGTGTTTGAACAAGGAATTACCTTTTTTTAAATTTTATTGTCATTTTTGGAATTTAATAAAACTGTAATTCTTAAAAATGAACTTATTAGTTTGAAACTTGAATTGGACAATAGATGCGTTTAATATGGAGTTTAAAAATTTTAGTAGTCATAGTTATATGTTTATTAACTGATGTATCGAATTATAGTAGGTACAATTTTTTTTATTTACCATGTCAATAATAACATTTGTTATATAATTAAAATAACATAAACTTTACATAATTTCATATTATAATTAATAATCCATTTAATTGATGTTGAAACTGTAGAAAATATTTTATGTATTGATCAAATATTTTGTATATTTGAATATTTGCTATCATATTCATTATTTATTATTTATAATAATTTTAATTTTATCACAAAAGAGATCATTGTTTATAGAAGACCGATTAAAAATAAACATGGATGTAGATATAATATACATTTCATAGTTTTATCATTCATATTTTAAGTTGTTTACTTCAATAATAATTGATCGATTTCAACAGTAAATATAAATTAACAACTAACAAGTGTAAGTGTAACCTTCTTAAACACACTAAATGTTTCACTGATTATTAATGAATCAAAATAAATAACTCACATTAATGTAATTTAAAACGTAAGAAGTTATAATCTAATATCATAGACGACTTGTTTCCTATTAAATTCGACTTTGAATTTTTTTTTTCTTATCTAATGCACATCGAAGTATAAATTAATTATATTTTCTTTGGATCTATATTTTATAGTAATAATAAAAGCAATAATTAAAATGACAATTATTCAACCTTAAGTTTAAATAATTATTTTTATTAAGGCATTCATATTTGAACAAATTCTTTAGTAAAATTAAAAAATTATTATATCTATCATAATTCAATTACATGTGATATTGGTTTGAAAACTAATATATTAGATACCATGATATATACACTGTTATCAACCATTAATGCGATTACAGAACTTTTAGTATATACAGACACTTAAGTCGTTTAATATTTCTTGCAACAATTAGGTATATAATGTAGGTGCAATTTACCTGCACTGAAATAAACTAAATTCATCCACTGAGCAATGAAAAAAGTTTTTGAGACCTATACATAGCCTGATTTATTATCTTCGTCTCGAAATCGAATAAAGGAGGCATGTATAGTCGTATAGACGGAAAGTGCATAAATTTAAATTAATATGCTCAACTAAAGCAAACGAAGAACGTTGAATGTTAAATGTTTTCGAGGATATAACCAAACATAATAATGATAATATAACGTCCAATCGATTCCCGATCAAACTCGTAATAAATTATTAGACGAAATTTTTAATTATTTTTATTACCTATTTACACTTTTACAAATATTAAATTATGTAGTTACGTACCTGTAGCTGCAATTGTGCGAGACTGATTTACACGTGTTGTAGCATTATTATAATATTATAGTTTATAATAATAAACATCGGACTACTAAAAAAAAATCCAAAAAGTGGCGCGACACAACTCAATAATTAATTATAAAAATATGTTTTTCGTGGATCTATGCACAGGTATTGTGTAAGTAGTGTTTTATGATTTATTTCGCGGGAAACTCGTTTGCGGCGGTATATTATAATATTATAGTGTTATTGTTATTTCGTATCTGTTAGCATTGTCATTATTAATTATTTTCACTAAACAGAAGTAGGTGCACTGTACAGAATATTTCGTCCGTCGACTACGCGACGAGCATTTGCAGTGGTTATTGTTTCAGATTTAAAATTGTGTTCGCATAATACTACGGTATAATGTGAGACGGAAACATGCTTTGCGCGTACCTATACTCATATCATATACTTTAATATTATAATAAATTGTTTATCGACGGAAAACACCGTCGTGAACTGATACCGACGATATGCCTCGCCACCGCTGAACATCCTATTCGGTGGGGGGATCCAAGTGTGGGGTTAAGGTCCACCAGTGTTCGGAGATGGGCGTTTGCGCGTACGCGTGTGCGTAGTGATAAGGTTTACGATTAGAAAAATAAAAATGTTATAAAGGTGAAAACATTGTGCTGACATAATATTATTATAACCTATGTGGTTATTAGGAAGGTATAGGTATATACTTTCGTCAGTCTCGTCTCGTCTCGTCTCTAATTAACGCGGCAACGAGCACGAGTACACAATAGGTGTGTACTGAACACAATTACGTAGGTATACCCGATATCACGTATACCACCTATTATACGTTACCGTGGATAACGATTATTATTTATAAGTTTATATAACACATATTATTTTATACTATAACATAGGTACATATTATTATCATTATTCTGCGCGGTACTTTAATACATTAATACCATGATTTAATATATCAAATTGAAAGATCGAACCTCTATTGGATCCATATAATAATATTATGATGTGACCTTAACGCACAGTGGTGTCGCCGGTTGGTTTTTTCGATATTATTCTGTTCCGGAGCAGCATTTTAATTATAACTCATACCTGTTTTACTCTAGCTTTGAAATTAGATTATCGACAAGTAAACGGCTGAAATGTGTTTTAGAGGTTAATATAAAGGGTTATTATATCTACCTAGTGTTATACCAGTCAACTATGTGAGTTATGTATAACCACTTTAATGGTTAATGATCTCTCCGTATATAATAAACATGTTATACATTTATACACATATTAATTATTGTTCATCACACTATTTTATCGTTATCGAATTTACCTTAAAAGTGCTTTTTAGTGTTTACATTTTAAATGGGTACCTACTACCTAGTTAGTATCAAAACAATAACTGAAAAATTAATCGAAAGAAGATAACATAACAATATTCATACATTTTATCCAAGTATATAAATAGATAGTGAATTAAATTAAATAAGAATTGTGCTAACAAGGTCGAAATAATATGTTATTATTATTATTATTATTATATTATGTAAGAACTATGAAGTTACTATTTAGAGATCATCGTTAATTAATTTTTCTAAATTATAATTATGTTTTTAATCATTGATAAAAAAAAAAAATTCAAAATGTTTACTTGTAATTTGTATATTTGTATACTTACAATAAATTATGAAGAAATTAATGATTTTTGTTATTATGTAAATAATTTAATAAGTTCAACAATAATCTCTTGTTTGAATATTATATTAACCTAGCCAGAGCATTGAAAATGAATATATTTTTTTAATCTCAAAAATTCAATGTTACTATACGAAATGGGTATTAATTTATTTATTTACTTAACTAATCAATTAATGGCTTAGAAATCTGAAATCATGTTTTTAATATATACAGGTATGGATAATAAGTAGAATATTTACTTAACGAACGACAAGATATGAATATTTAATTTGTTAACCACCAATTTGAGTTAGTCAAATGATCCATATTAAGTTTAAAACTATTAATTCGAATTTTTAAGACTTTAAATAACTGTTGAAATTAATTTGAAAATATACGTATAAATTTAATTTATTCCGATTACAATACATGTGTATATAAATGATGAAAATTAAAAATTATTTAAAATTCTAAACTGCTATTATCATTAAATTTGTTTTAATTTTTAAATATTTTATAGGTACAAATTCTATTAATCTATTTACTATATAATATGTTGTATTCTTATGTTGGTAGTATGTATATATATATATATATATATATATATATATATATATAAGTATAATCAAAATAATAAATAATAACTATTAGTTGCTAGTTACATAACATTATAACATTTTACAAAATATTGAAAATATTACCAAAATATTTTTTACTCGTGATAAATTATTTAATATTATAGCATTTAAATTTAAATATAAATTGAAAATACTTAGTACCTTCGTGAGTTATGATTTTAAGAAACTGATTACGTTCAATCATAATAATATATTACATTTGAAATATAAAATAAATCATGATTACAATATTATCTATGTACATTTTCAATTTTGTTTACAATTTTTTTACTAATAAGTTAAGAAGTAGGTTTTTAAGTTAAAATAATAGTTTAATGATTTTAAGTCGCACCTGGCATATTATTATATTTGTATTAATAGCCGCCAGCAAAAATAGACTACGTATGATATGTAGATAGTAAAAAAGTATGTGTGGGTATGGCTTGATCAAAAATAGAGCAAGTATATAATATAATAATAATAAAATTGATTTATTGTTTTGTTTTGTTTTGTTTAAACAATATAATTTTAGAGATCTTGATAGTTGATATAATTTTTATCTTAATATATATTATCCATAATGACAAATCATTTATAATGCATAATTTATGCTTCATCTTGTGTTAAAGTTTTAACGATAAGTTTCACGTGAACATTAGTATTAATTTTAAAATAATATAATAAATTATAACATAATGCTTTATTTTAAAGTATTTATCTTATAAATTAATGATTATGGTATAAGTTTATATTATAAATAGCTACTCTAGCTAGGAATTCCTTAAAAAAAAAAAAAATGGTATAAGTTTTAAATCGAATTTGTTTACACTGTCTACGAATAACTATGAACAATTTTAATACAATAATCAAACCTATTAAAATGGTCTACAGTAATAAGTAAACGAATGATTCGACTACATACAACTTTGGCTTGGAATTTGAAGAAAAATTAACTTTATGGTAAGTAAGTAACTATAATAATAAGTAGTGTTAGTGTAGCATGTATATAAAAATAATAATAATTATGATGTGATAATTTTGTACCGGTCGTAATAAAAAAATAATGTTGTTAACATCTTAAGGCTTTGATATTTCAATATTTGTTCATCATTAGAATAATACGTAGATAGTAGGTATATATTATAGGTAGTTGGCAAAAAAAAAAACTACTTATCTAACAACGGCATCAATTAATCTTCGTGTTAACGATGTTTATACATCAGTATTACGTTTAGTGCTGTTTTAAAAGAGTAGAGTAAATCGAATTTTGACGAAATAAATTTGAAAAATATATAATATAATTACTTGTTAAATGTTGATTACATGAATGTACCTATGGTTAAATAATCCGAAGCCAATTTCGTTCTAGTACCTGCCTATGAGTATATATTATAATAGTAGGTATATGGTGCATGTGGTATATATTTAATACATTTGTACACTTTTTAACACAGCATTATAGTGTTATGTACATATTATTATTATGCGTATAATACCGATGTGTATTATACTACATATGTATAGGTACCACCAAATGAATTCAGTAGATTAGATACGCCGATACGAATATTGTGTATACAAGGTGCCTGTAAAACAGCTTTTCTGATGCTATTAAAATGTAAATCGATTTCGATGATCGTGTGTCTGAAAGTAATATAGATCACAGATATGATCGGCTGGAAAAATTAAGATCGTTTCAAAACTATAAGCATAATAAAAGTATTTATACGATCGTGTTCCGATTTCAGAGATTTTCAATCGTTTGCCAATCAAACTTTGATTGTTGAGCCTCTGTTGCAGCTAACACCGGTAATCACAGTTTACCAGACGAGAGTAACAGAAAGCACACTTGCACACACATTCAATACTAAGTAAAACTATATAACTAACACTATAACAACTATTTTTATTCATTCCACGTGGCCCGTCGATAAATTTGTTTTTCAAGACGATTACCACTTATAACTCTTTTTTATACACGGCAAGTATAATATTTTAGGTAAAATGTCTTGTTGTCTATATTATCGGTTATTTTATGAAATAAAAGTATTATTAAAGTGGCATCTAATTTGCTAAACAGGTAAAAAAGTATTAAATCTGCTGTTGTACAACGATATTATAATCGTGCACTTTAAATTTTGGTAAAATCGTAAAAAAACCGTTGATTTCTAACTTGATGAATGTACGCAAACAGGTTTTTCAGAACAGTGCGTTATAAGTGTTATAACGTTGGGTCAACGAGAACACGCGCGTATGACTTAGTTTCCGTATAAAAATAATATTATATTATGTACGCTCTTCCGACGTATACCGTATGCAGGTACCTATATTAATAATTATTTTCCAAACAATACTACACGACGTACGTCGTACCTACGTGTATTACCTATTAAAATATGATTATTGGAGATAAGACGTAAAACCGTTCTTCAATGTACGGCGATTAAAATGAGATATTGCGTTTTCAGAGAAACCGTTCGTTGGGGAGGGGGGAGAAGAGAGTCTGATAGCAACAGGTGTGTAATTTTTAATAATAATATATCCGATATAGTTTGGAACTCGATAAAGAGTACTAAAAACCCACGCGCTCATTGAATGGGAGAGGAGGACTTGGCTACGGATCTCGTCCGCCGCGCCGGTATGAATGGATAGTGTCCGAGTCGCCCCCTCCCTGCCACCACGGCGATATATACGACGAGTGTGCTCTCTCACTCTGTCTCTCACTACTATATATTATATTATTATATTATTGTGTGGTCAGGTAAACGAGCGTAGGTAGGTGTGCCATTGATCACTTTGGTGGACAACCGAAAACGACTTCCCCCCGCACAAATTTCGTGGCGGCGAACATCGCGTCGTCGATCGCCGCACCGAGGACGGCTGTTGCAAAACAAAACGAAAATAATTCCACACACGACTATACACGAGACTTACTACTTAGTATGATACATTATAATATTATGGGTATGACGGCGATTGATTTACACGCATCATTATACGTCGTTTCGCTTAAAACAAAATACCGTACCATTGCGTAGGTTGTAACTTGTGTGTCTTGTCTAAAGGTATATCGAATCACTCACTGTAGGCCTAAGAAATTAACGCGAAACTAGCTTGCCGGCAATGAGCCTGTTTTAATTTTTAAAGTTTAAAACGAACTGTTCAGTATTATTGTAGTACGGTTATAAATATTGATAATATGTTCTTCGATCACGAACCCACGTATAATCAGATACGCGTGTATAATAATTTTGTAAGCGATTGAAATTATGTCGAAATCAATTTCAAAATAATTATTGTTTATTTTCGTTAATGTCTGAGATTCTTTAGTATGATGGTTATGATTTAATTTAATTTTTCTGCCGACAATTTGTCGAAAATGCTCTTTTCAATTCGTGCGGCTATCGTGATAGTTAAATAAAAATCAAGTCTCTATTTCGGCGCTTTTTTTTTGTGAAAAACAATTTCAATAAAACTTAAACGTAATAATTATATGTTGAATTAATCGTGGTTTAATAACTTAATTATATCGGATGAAATACATTAACCGCGTCGATTACAGTATTAAAAATAATGAACACCCGTTTACCGCACTAATTTAATATGGCGTTTAAAATTCTTTTTGACTGGACATATTATATTATTATACATGTATATGTTATTAGAAAACAAAAAAAAAATCAAAATAGTATACACGACGAACGATGATGGCTGTAGAATTGGTCAGACAAGGGTATTTTAATAATATCGTTGAAAAGTCATAAAAAACAAAAAAAAACAAGAACAATAATATTAATAATAATAATAATAATACGTTCACGGCCCTATTATAGCAGTTGTAACACCTACAATTTTATTTAACTACCCTACAACAACAATAACAACAAAAAGACCGGTATTTGTGAAATACGTCGTTTACCAAGATTTAAGAAAAGTTAGTCGTTGCTATTATATGTTAAAAATCAACGAAAATAATTTGATAATGGCTCGTGAAAATGTGCTTTTAATGCAAAATATCTATTGGTATTATTTCGTACATAATATAGGAGGAAACGTTAAGAAACTCATTGAAATCTTCGCGGGATACGTAAGTATTTCGTTTTTTGGCACAATTTGTATAAAAAAAATTATTAATTATTCGGATGTGTAATTAAAAATTATTGTGTATGTGTATCTGTTGGCTGTAGTGACGTACCTACTTGGGATTATGTTAGCCTAGGTACACGTTTATTCCTATTGATTCGTAGTTTTGAACGATTTTCAAACATATTCATAAAAATATATATAATGTTAAAATGTGTATTTATGTATATTATATATTATGAAGGAAAATTAGGATTGTAAAATAATAATGTATAATTTATTATTTAATTATAGGCATTCAAATGTGCCGTCAGTCACTCCCCCCTACTAGTTTATAATACTCCTCCTCAGGCATGTGTATTATAATAGTCTATTTTATATGGTTTATTAAAATATTAAAACAGATACAGTTAAACTAGTATAATATAAGTACCTAATGTAGCTGATTTTTTTTTTTACAATAAATGTTTATACCATGCGACGATTGGGACTATTCGGATTAAACGCGCAATCATATTGTAGGTATAAAATAATTTATTAATAGCGATGGACTGCCGTGAATAAACGAATAAAATTGTAATAAAAATATAGTAATAAGGTAATAAACCGTTTTCTAAAATGTGTATGTTTTAAAAATATATTATTGCTCTCATTTTTCAAAATATTTATCCACAAAGAGCTAATGTTTATACAAGGCGTTTTGTATATATACATATATAACTAGGTGTATAGCGTGTACAAATCAACAAATATATTCCCACGAAAATTTTAAATTTAAATACCAATACTTCTAGGGCATGTCCGTACTATTAATATATTAATAATTACGTAAAGAGATAATTTAAATTATTATCATATAACGAGAGGGTAGTATTCAAATAATTATAGAAAAAATTTAGCGATTTTATAGTGTGCATACATGCTATATATGTATTTAACAACGGAGGACGAACACGTATAAAATCCAAATAATAATAATAAACGAGAGTAAAATCGGAGCGAAAGAGAATGATGATCGGGTGGCGGTGGAGTAGGCGGCGGCGGTCCGGCTGATAGGAGAGCTGCGTGCTACACACACGTACCTACTACACTCGACAGTCATCAGACAGCATCCCGTAGTGCGCGCGATAGAAAACGTATGTAGTGTGCGTTCGGTGGTCTCGGTGTTCACGTGCGCCTCGTCGTCGTCGTCTTCATCGTTTCCGTTTCTCCATTCCTCACTATCTCTCTTTCTCTCTTTCTTTGATATATTTAACAACTCTATCTCTGTCTCTATATATATATATATATTTATATTTAATATCTCTTCCTCTCTCTCTCTCTCTCTCTGCTCTTCTCTCCAGACTCCAATCTGTACAAAACGCGTCACATTATATACTTGCACACACACATTTGGCCGCCACATGCCACGGCAGTGGTGACCCTTTGAAATCACACATACGCACTCGCACTAGCTCACAAACCCGCGTGCAATACACTGCCACTGTCGGCGAGCTGCAGCAGGACGTTTTAAAGGAACCGTTTTTGTTTTCACCCCGTCAGCGTTTTCGAAAAATAATGTGGTTTTTGTGACGACGTCCTTGTACACATACGTTAGCGCATCCGATTTTCCGGAAATGAAGCTGATGTCGATGTCGCCGCTTTCGCTGCTTCTGACCGCGGTCGTAGCCACCGCTGTGGTCACCGCTGTGCCCGACGTGACCATCCCCGTCGAACCTATCTACAATACGGGTGGCAATCAATGTTATGACGAATACAACAAACCTCAGGTAGGTACCCTGATTTTTTCTCAAATACTCGTCAGATATCGTATTATTATTATTACTACGATTACGTGATGTAATCACAATGTAGAACGTCGAATCACGCGACCCTATGTAGGTATATAATATATATTATATAGGTGTAGCAACCCTCACGCAGACGCGTCTAACTGAAGAGAAAAAAAAACATTTCGTAATTTGAACACTATACTCGTATAGATTTAAGTTTTTTTTTATAAATAACATACCTGGTAGATTGATGTAAAAACATATTATCGTGACGCTTGTCGTTGTCATCATCTGAGACCAACCCTTTTTCTTCCATACATTGATGGTTATCAATAATATATTAAGTTATACATGGTGTATATATTATATACGATTACGGTTAAACATGTAACGAAAAACTATGAACGATAGCGACGGTGCCAAAAACAATGAACCGTAAATGATATTTTTATTAAAACATTTTATCTAAATATTACTGGTTTTTTTTTTTTTTTTTATTATGCGAGTAACTAGAAAACCAAATCATGTTATATGCTTAAAATGTAAATGATTACGATGAGGATGTTTTAATTGTGGGCTAAACGCCCAAACGCATAAATAATAAGTTTATACAATTGTTTACTTGGACTATTCACGATTTTATTATTATCAATTACTTTCCATAGACATCTTACCAAGTTGGAAAATATTTAATAAATTTTGCACATTTTCTCACTACAAACTAACATCATCATCGTTATTCCGTTCTATTATGCGGTAATACCAATGTTTGCATATAGAGTAACCCTGTTGGTTTTCAAAATCTTTTGTTGCTCGACCTTTTTCTTTCGATCACGAATTCCATAGAAAACAAAACTCGGGCCCGAGGCGAAAGAATGTATTGTCTACAGTCTAAGAAATAGTCAGAGAATTGAAAAAAATTTTTTTTCCATTTGGGTCCATTGGTGATATGGTTAAGATGAACATTGGATTTCAGCGAGCATATAATAATGGCTCAAGGGCGTCAGGTTGTATTATATGTTATGTAAAGGAGAATAATTCAAAATTTCTGTAATATTTGAGCTTCAAAATATTCACTTATGATTTTTTTTTAACAATTCAATTTGTCGAATAATATATTTACTCATTATTGTCTTATTTAAAATATTCTATTATACATGCATTAATTTATTTAAAAAAATATATACTTTTAAATATTGAGAATTACATTGGTATAAATTGTAAATTACAATTTCAATTAGCCATACAATAAGTGGCATCACCTTATAATTTGTTATCAATTAATGTTCGTGGCTAGCTTAAAACACCAGTTGATAAATTTCTAAGAAATGAGTAATACATTGGCCGTATTAATACAACAGAATACATTTTGCGAGAGTTGCATTAAAAATTAATTCTGTATTTTATAAGCGATTTCATTATGCAACAGCCTTGTTTTATCTATATTATATGCTCTAAATATGTTGTATACTATATTAATATATTAGGTACTTTTGTTAGTAATTTTATTTCGTCCGATTAGTCAATGAAAATATTAAAACTCAGTCTAACACTTGATGTGTTAGCTGGTGTGTAATAAATAATAATTGAATTAAAAAATGATATTATTAAAGTGTATGGTGAGTATATGCAAAATTATTTTGTGATCATCACGTACATTTATGAGATTTTATCATGAGTATAATGTCTATATAATATGTTGTACTACCCACTTCCCACATACGAGTATATTGCTACTTTGATTACGTCTTTACGTGATCAAAATACCTAAATTCACTATTTTTCACTTTTCGGTTTAAAATTTATTGACGTTTGGTGTAATATTTTAACTGGTGCCTACATTAGTACAAAAACCTAAAACCCGTCAGTTGTTAATTATTATCTATCTGATAATCTTTAAATTTACATGAGAGAAATGGACTTTAAAAAGTAGTGAAAATTCAAAATAAAAACAAGATTGTTGGCTATATTACATTTCATGTACAATAATATAAATACCTATTGACTCATAAATTTGTCAAAATTCGTTTATTTTATCTGTATTAATACGTTTGGTTGATTTTATAAAATAAAAATAAAAAAAACTTATAATAATATATACTTATATATAGTATAAATACTAGTTCTGTATAAAAGTGTAATTATTATACACAGAAGATCATTTTTGTTTCATCAGTAAAGTCGTATAAGATATAACTATAATTTATAAATTTCCTCGTGATAAATTTATGTTTTCATCATCCTTGAGTTCGATTGGGATGTAAAATAACCGAGGTGTTTATATTATTTGAAAATATTATTAAGTTTTGTGCTACTCTGTGGTATAATACGTGTACGTCGTGTACAGCGTCGGCGTAGTGTGGTTTCGTGACATCTGTTTTGGGTCGAAGATAGTTTCTAGTCTAATTTTATAAACAGTAGCCGCCATGTTCACTGGACCCTTTTCCCTAGCACAATATTTTACTACAAAAAATATACACATACACAGAACTCGTTCGTTATAATATGTGTATATAGTTGCGCCGTAACAGCAAACTGATTGTATTGGTGTGTGGTGTATAATACGACCGACAGCAGAAGGATAAGAGTATAATCGTAAACGGCGTATTATATAAAAATAATTATTGAACGCGATAGGCCGACCGTAAAAAGACGACGGTGGACAGTGCGGCATTGCAGCAACAGTTTATACCGAGACGTGACAGCCCGTGAATACATTTACAGCACGAATGTCATTATTTATCCGTATTTTCTGGGGTAGATTTATCGTTTCTCATGAATTTACAGAAAGCGGCTGAGAATTTGTCGAAATCGTTAGGCACTTTTGACAGAAACGATAATGACGATAGAAATAATCATCGTATCATTTAAGGTAGTCGGAGGATTAGCAGACCGTTCGGTCGATTATTCGCGCCCGCGTCGGTCACAGGTTTCTGGTTGTTTTTGTGGAAAAAAAAAAATAATCGAATCGAACCGAACTGGTTGAAATTAATTTAAATTGCGTTTTTACGCGTCTCGGGACGTGAGAGGAGTGTTAATATTTAACAGTGAACTATATGCATGTATATGTATATGATGACTACCAACACGTGCGCGTATTTCGTATATAATAATAATAATAATAATATGGTGTAGTGCTATAGTCCCGCACGGTGTTTTCTTGTTGACGAAATTTGGAATGAATCTGAAAAACATAACGTCACAATAATATAATGTCCACCTTCTACCCCCCTCTCTCCCATATATCCAATACGTTATGTTCACTTCGACCATATATATTCCAACTATATATGCTCACGTGCGAGACTATATGCCAGTTATTTTTATTTTACACTCGTATAAGCATGATTATAGATATTACGATATCTATATTATACGCTTCATGTTTAGGTTATGGTTGCTACATATTTTTCTCTAAGTATATACATAAATCCATTTCTGGAAATCTATTCGTCCCGTCATATTGTCATCATAAAATTCTGAAACGATTAGACCCTTTGATCATATACCGCACCGGTATGTTTTCCGTAACATCGTGTGCGGTCATGTTATACAAACAAATCATTAGATATAGTTTTCTTTATAGATTAGAAATAATAATCATGTGATAATTTGGGCAATGTGGCTATAAGTATCGAAATAAAAAACATATATGCATATTATATATTATATAAATATATAAAAGTATAAAACAATCGTATTAGATGCGTTAATTGTATGATCATTTTTGTGTTCGTTTTTAATATAGCGGATATAAAAAGTAGTATAATGTACCTATATAGTTTTCAAGTTAAAATTAAATCTGTAAACTTAAATTATTATTTTTATACAATTCAAGTAATGATTTCTAGGAAGTAATTAGTTATTGATTTTGAAAGTACCTATGATGTTTTCAAATTAACAAAGCGTAGTTTTTTTTTTTAAACAAAAAATACATTATCAATACTAAAACTAAAATTATAAAAATAGTCCTCAATCTACTGAAATATTGTACAATTTTCCCTCTCGATGACAACTTATTTGCCATTTCAATGAGTTCTTTAAATTATGTTTCATTATCGATCAATAATTTATGTGCTACTGCAAATGTAATAAAATAAAATAAAGAATATAGTTAGACATTTCATCGCACAAAATAAAACATAATATAAAATTAATTTATAACTAAGGAGTAAATAGTAATATGTGTGAACAGGAGGTACACATATTAAATACCATTGATAATTAAAATTAAAATTTATTTTTAACTGAGACTAACCAATCACAACACATTTATCTAAGGCTCATCGCATAAATCATATTGGATTATTATTATTATAATTATTTCACGCATCAGAAAGCTATTTACTGATTTCTATTTTTTCGACAATTTACTTAAGTTGAATAGTGTGTACAAAAATATGATCTTCACTATAATTTAAGCCTTTATTTTCTAATTTAATAAATTAAATTTATCTATTGTAGTTTATAAGTGTATATAATTAAATATTAATGATGTTTTCCTATTTTTCATCATATAGATTTCAAGAAATAATAATAAAGTGACTGGATATATTTTGTACTTACATTTAAAAAAATGTAATAACATTATTTAACAGCTAAAAATATGACTACGAACCTGATTGAAAATGTTTTCCATAAAATGTTAGCATGATTTCGTACAATAATAAACTTTAATAGGTTTAAAAAAAAAAAACAACTAGTAAGTAGTAATATAAACGTGACTAAAATGGATCTTTCGTGAAAAAATATTATTCAATATTATGTCACACAATATTATTCCGTACTAGTTAAACAAATTAATGTTTACTTATCTATTGTTTATTTAGTATAAATTACATCGTATAATAGTCATTTATTATTCCTCGAATTACCATAATACCTAAGTACCTAAACTGCAGTATGCATGTTGCATTATTGCGTGTGTACCTACTGTTGTAATGGTCAAGTAAATCTGATGACGATACAAATTCACGAATTTGGCTAGCCGTCATGTGGTTTTTAAGACTACACTTGGTAACATAAACTCAGCAGAAAATAACAATAACAAATTTTTTTTCTTTGTTTCATTTTTGGTAGTGAAGTATTTTTTGTACGTTTGCTTGGTATGTTTACGCATTAATTGTTGGCTTCTAGGGACATACCTAAGTATTAAAGTTTAAGACTACTGGAATGATCACGGAGACAGTCACGATTATTTTATTGATAAGAATAAACATTGAAGCTATGAACCTACTCACGTATACAATTTAAACCTACCTATGTATAATATTATTTTTATTATAAAATAAATATTGATAATATTTTACTTTATCAATTAACATTAATGTAACTTATAAATTCCAAATATGAATACTCTACACATACAATATAATATTTTCTTCCTTGCAGTTCTCTTATTACATACAATACTACAGAATTCGTTTTGTTGACTCCTGTTTCCTAGAGTAAGCCAGTAAAATATACCTCTAGATAATGTTAAATTATCACACTACATTAAAAACATTTTTATATTATTTATTCAATAATGATAGTTATATATAAAAAAATTACACACTTAAATAAAAATATGTTCGTTGTGCGCATTGAGACTTGTTGAATTAGGTATTTTAAGAGGAAATAATTGGTGATTTTATACAAATGCATTTTACATAAAATTTAAAGATGAATATTAATAATAAAAAAAAAAAATATCAAAACGTTGTTAATAGATATGTGGCATCAAGAAGAATTCATTCAGTGCTGAAATAAAAAAAAAAAAATTAATCGTCCCACTCCTCTCATTGTTTAGTTTCAGATATATGAATGTATAAGTATAACTGTCAGATTGTGTATATCATAATCGTAAATGTACAAGATAATTTTGTTAAAGCTGAACACTAATTTTATAAAAAAAAAAAATTATTAACGTTTGTTTGTGTAAAAATTCGAAATTTCGAAGGAGTAGTTAATTAAAATTGCAACTCACTACAAATATTTATAGTTTGTTGAGTGAAGATATGAAGTAATGGAACAAATTTGTGGAGTATTCCTGCGCCATTAACTTCTTCACTCCGTTCATATTTTTTTAGAATCTTATAGATAACTAGTTAACTATGTATTCGTTTAAAATATGTGATATTGGGTTTCTAAAAATAAATTCTTCTTAGAATATGAAATTAAAAATATATGCTGTCATTTAAAAAATTTAAAAAAATAGATAAAAAATAAGAGTTATATTTTACTTCAAATAATATAAAACATAAAATTTCTATATACTTTAGGTAATGCTTTTCAAGAAAATTAGCGTTCACCTTTTACATAATAATCCTTTTTTTATGTATTAAAAGAGACCAATGATCAATGAGAGAGTAATGAGACGATGAGAGAAAGAAATTCTGTATTCATCGGTGGAAACTCGATCGTTTTTCTTCACTCGGGTACGACGGTGATGGGGTTTTTGGGACGAGGGTCTAGTATATGACAACAATATTCTTGTTACGACGTTGTATTATTATCTTGCATACGCATTGTAAGCGCAGATAATATAATAACGACATGCTCTGCAGAGGAGTGTACCTATAAATACTATATAGACATATAGTATATATATAAATGTATAATAAACCGAAATGACACATGTTTAATTCCGGTAGCCACGCGTATCTATATAATAATAATAATAATATAATATATAAATCCAGACCTGAATCCGGCAATTATTCACAGGTACACCGATAATAAAAACGTCCGACATCGTGCGCCTTCCATACATTATAATAATGTATCCTTGTCGGAAAGGTAGGGGAGTTACAACGTCTTATTGTAACGCTTTGCGACATTCCATTGGATTTTTCTTTCTTATCCACCACTTACGCTCTTCAGAACTTACCTCCCTGTGGTTTTCAATACAATGCTTTATTATAGCGATCTAAAATAATAGGCACATGTGCTCTCAAGTGTGACCGCGCGGAAGATCAATTCGTAATGAGCGAAAATATTATAGTATGCGACTGCAGTCCACAGGGCCAAAGCACATTAATTATAATAACAAACGATATTAATATTTGAATGTAGACTAATGGACTGTATATGCACGTTGCAGGTATGATATTTTAAATGAATTTGTTTCGACTGTAATAGTTGCACATACATATGTCCCATAAGCACATATGTAATACAGCTGCGATTGTCGCAGGAAATATATACTACACTTATTGCGAATCGCGATTGAAATAATTACGTACATTCGATGCGAGTCTGGACTAAGTGCTTAACCACCACACAATAATAACAAAACTTTATATACGTAGGAGCGATTAAAATAATATGTAAATCGTGTCTCATTCGAAATGTCCGCAGCTTTACATCAACTGTTCATTCCCGGGAGATACTTCTATACATTCATTATTATGTTTACCTATGTTAAACATTTGTAATTCGTTTCAAGATTAATAAGAAAAAAAAGTGCATAAATATATATATATATATATGTATATGTATATAGTATGTATGGTAAATTTTACGTTTATTAATGTAAATATTAGGTTAGCCACTTTAAAAAATATCTTTTTCTCCATCGACCGAGCTCAGGAAAATATATTTTAATCGTTAAGTAGTAAATAAAATGAATTGCGTATTAAACAATTAATAATATATTATAGTCTTCTTATTCTTAGGATTTGTCATCCATTAAAATCATCTCGTCACACATCTCATCACTGCTCGTATCTTTCAGTTTGGTTCTTTATTCAATGACTATCAATGTCTGATTAATAATACTATCCAACCTTTGTTATAATAATAAATTATTTTATTGTGAATTTAATTACTAATTAGTTTTAATAATAGTTAATAATTTATTGCATGGAAATTCTTTATGTATGTGTCAAGTGTTTTATCTCATAATTTACACGATGGTGATTTTCATTGTAGAGATGTATACCGGGCTTCGAAAATGCCGCGTTCGGATTAGAAGTAGAAGCAACCAACACGTGTGGCCAGTCCGGTCCAACTGAATTTTGTGTGCAGTCAGGCAGTCAAGTGACTAAGAAGACATGTGACGTGTGCACAGAATCATCACACTCGCCTTACTACATGACAGATTTCAGCAGTTACGCGAATCGAACGTGGTGGCAGTCGGAAACCATGTACGAGAACGTTCAATACCCAAACCAGGTCAACTTGACCCTGCATTTTGGTATGTGACACTTTACATTTTTCAACGTATGACATTATGTTTAAGTAGCCAATGTTTGAATAAGTAACCTATATTAAACATATATTCTTAATGATTGTATAATATGGTTGTAGGTAATCGATTAGTTTTAGAAATTAGAAATTTGGGGTAGATCATGTGTTTAAGAATAATATATTTGAAAGCTACATGGTTTATTGGCTAACAGTAGGAATTAATGTGAAAGCATTAAGCTTAAAATTATAAAAATCAAAAAAATCAGTATAGTTCATAATATATAAATAACTTTTTATACATATATCAACTAATAATTTATAATATTCAATAGCGATGATTTTTTTTCAATACAATATGCAGTGTAAAATTATCAACATTTATAGAATTATTTTTCTAAATTTCAATTTTTAAAATTCACGGCAGGTACCATGTATCAAATAAAATATGTATGAAAAAAATATACTTTAAATAATGTGTCTTAGTCAACATTTGATTTAATATTATTTTTTTAAATATAATTAATATTTAATGTAATTAAAATCATTACTTATAATCTTTTCTTACTGAAATTTGTATTTATTGACAGCTGGTATATTGACAAGAACAATTTTAAATTGTTGTCGGAATAGTAAAAAATTTTTTTTTTATTATCGGAACTAATGTTTGCTAAAATAATAAAATCTATGCGTTAATTACAATATGCCAAATCATGTAAAAATATATATTAATTAATTAAAGTATGATTAAATTACGTTTAGAATTTTATATGTAATTTTGTTGTTTTTATATAATTTAAAGAACATGTTTCTATGATCAAATTTAAAAAATATAACATTATCTGTTTTTATCTCATTGTTTTTGAGTAACTTAAATATCTGTATCTAATAAATATATAAAATAGCTATTGAAATACCATAAACATACTTAATAAAGATTTTTAATTTAATTATTAAAAAAATAACTTGTTAATAAATCGTTTTAAAATTTGATAGTAAGTAAGTTTAATTTAATTTTAAAAACAACTAAAAGTGCATTGAGAATGCTGAACGTAAATTTGAAATACATAAAAACGTAATAAATCGTACAAATCATATAAATAAATGCTAATATTATATTTAATCTATGACAATAGTTCTTATCGATTTTACGTAACTTTGTTTTAAAAATTAACTTTTATGATTTATATACGATAAGATATATTTTTTCTGACATTGATTTAAATGTATAAAGAGTTTAAAAGCTATTAACCGAATATAGACTCCCAACTGAGAGACGCATTTGCTTTATGTTTCAAAAGTAATTTTTGACAATTTGTTTAAACTTGTCGATTTATTTTCAGTTTTACATTTTTATAGAGTAGACATATTAAATTATCACCCATTCAATCTTTGAAAATAGATTTTAACGGATAGTATGTATTATAATTAGTTATAATTCATCGAAATTGTTATTACCATTGTCGTACAGTAATTTATCAGAATATCTTAAATTACATGTTTTTAATTAATTCTAATAACTCTTTCTGTTATTACCTATGTACATTTTGTTCTGTGTGTAAATGTAACTTAGATAACTGTTGTAGATAGGTTAACGGGGGCGGAATTTTATCATACTGTATTTAATGTGCAATTATCTCTATTTTATGCTTTGCACAACGTATTACGATGATGAGTGTCGAGTTTTATGTTTTTAATAGTGAGTGGTGTCTTAAAGCTTATAATTATTAGTATTTTTCTTATACCTATTAAGTAAATACTTACACTTCACTGTTTAGTCATTAAGTAATCTTATGTTTTCTGTTTATAATATTAACAGTAATGTGATGGGTATATTTTATTGTAGAAGGCGGACATTTGTAGGTTTTATAATTATTAGGTAGTGTTGTAAGTTGTAAATAAAGTTTAAAGACGAGTTAGAAAAACATTTTTTTAAATATTTTTATTAGAAATCATTTTAGTCTTAAAATCCAATAAAATAAAATGAAGTTGTAAAAAAATAAAATTATACGATGTGTAAGCGATATAAGCACATTCATTTTAAAATAATTATAGCACAATGCTGAAATTACTACAACTACAATATAAATTATTACTATCATAAGTTTATCATAATGCATAATATATAATATTCTCATTTTAAAATTAATCGTATTGATTTTTTTTTTTTGATGAGAAATCATTATAAATATTCTGTATATTATATCATAATATACTTAATATTGTGTATTTATTTGTATAGTACAATTTGAATCTTGAAAACAATTAAATCTGGGATGTAACAAAATTGTAGGTTATGCCTATTATTTCGGGTTCATAAAAGTCTTTTTAATTTTATGATGCTGTACTTCTTTAAGGATAGATCGCCGTGACGGATAAGATCAAAAATACTCGACTGCACGTTTATTTAATTATTTTGTCGGTCAGTGCATACGTAATAAATCCATCATAATAATATTATATTATTAGGTAAGTTGAATAAATAACAGCTCCTATCGATTTCCACGATGAACAATAATTACATGCTAGAGTTGACTTAATATTGATTATTATTTATCTGTCAGTCGGTTGAATGTTTCAAATTTGTTCGTGTTTGTTCTTCAGACGATTACAGTAAGACGTGAGCATAATGTTTTAAAACCGTTTAAACTACATTGGTAATTAGTTCTGTCTTCCAAAACCCCGAAAAAAAATATATACATATCTTGATTTATTAACAAATAATCTTTGTAATGTAATTTGTGTATAATTTACTGTTAATAATATTATCTCAGTATTTTTTCAATACATGATTATGTAATAAACACGTAACATCCCAAATATAAAACAGGTACCTAACTACATCATAAACTTAATATTATTGCAATCTTTTTAACTATCTTATTGTTTTTAAGAAAAATTATTTAAATAATATGGTAAATATTTGCAATGCATTCATACTGTATATTTGTACATCCTGTATAACTGAACTCGTGTTGAAAAAAAATAAAAAAACACCACATCCTATCCTATCGCAATACTACGTGGGTCGACCTTTCCGCTGATTATTTCATAGTTTTTATAATATAAATTATAAATATCAGAGTTTTACATCCTTCAGTAATATAAGCTTTCTAAGTTCTAATAGATTCATAGACCGACGAAAATTAATGTATACCCGTTAAACGTTAATTAGAGAAATTTGTGTGTGAATTTATCAAAATTAACAATCAACACATTATATATAATGGTTAGTTTATTTTGCGTTGTTTGTTTTATACATAACATACTTGGCGACTTTTGCAGAATAAAAATCGATTTAATTATATTGTTGTCGTTGAGTGATGAATAATAAGCTCACTCACTTGTGCTTTGATAACAGTTCACTTAAATCATTAAACTAGTATTAATATGCATTTTCTGAAAATAAATTATTTACTTGTTATTTTAAAAATTATAACCAATCATAACGTATAATTAAAATGATTATTTAGGTATTGATTTTTATTCGTTTTGCATCAGTAGGTTCTTATATACTTTAGTATATTCGTTAAAAATGTACTAAATTAAAATTTTTTTTTTTTTTAGTTTCATATTTGTTATTTTATAGAATAACGTAAATAATTTAAATAATTCAGTTAAAGTGTTTTTGGTCACCAAAGAATTATTATATTCCACGATAAAAAGAGCTTCGTGCTCAGATAACAGCTGAAACAGGAAATAACGAAACGATGACCTCTGTACTTCCATTGATACCAATGGCAATAGAATTTATAAAGTACTTTTAAAAACACGTGGTTGCTATAATATTGTCCTATTTTCAATTTTAATAATTACAAGTATGAACAATTATTGAATATAATATATCGTTAGGTTAATTAACTGATTCCTTAAAACTCTTACAGTTCATACTACACACACAAAAAAAAAAAAAAATACATTTTATTAAGTTTTTTAAAATTTAGAAACTACAATGACAGCTAAAAATACCTTTTTACTCTTATACATATTGTTGAAATATTTTATTATTAAATAGTGAGATTTAAATAGTTGTATATATTTTATGAAGATTTACTGTTAATTGATTTTTGTTAATTATTATTATTTATACCACTCATCAATCTACCATTAATCATTTTTTGACGATTGTCGTTGATTATTTTTTTAACAAATGTATAGCATCAAGTAGGATTTATACATTGCAAAATGATTATGTCTATTTAAAAACATGTTAACGAGCAATTACTGTGGTACTTATGAATAATGATGGTATCGATAAAAAATAATAACTTTTTTCATGTTATTTATACAGTTATGCGTATAACATTAATCGGCTCTATATACACTAATTTTTGAACGAAAACAGACTGTTAATTTATTGTTTAATATAATTCGGATCTAGTCAAGCCAGACAAATAAATAAAAATACGTTAGGGCGTTTGTCATTTCCCGTAGGATGAACAGAAACAGTTTTTTGTCATCTCCCACGCATAATTTGAATAAAGTAAACTCCACCTTTCGCTAACTACGTTTTAAATTATTGTCCTATAATTCGTTTATTCAGTTAATATTAATTATATTTGATAATATGAGTATATATTTCTACTGATTTTACTATTGTAAATAGCCCGATATTAGTTGGAGATTGTACTCAGTTTTATTAAAGTTAAATTGTATTCATAGTCAATGTAATCACTGATAATCAAATAAAATATTTTTATCGATTTTTCGTTTGAAAAATTGATATGTCAAGTCTTACTTAAACACTCAAATGTTCAAAAAATGATATACTTTAATATTTTATAATATGGTATATCATTTTTTATCGTTGATATTAAATATTTAGTACAGGTTTGAAAATTTACGACGATCTAATCGTTGTTGTTTTTCATTTTTTATAGTAAATTTTTATTGTACACAATTATGGCACTGTTTAATTTATCATAAAATAATCATATTACCCAGGTAATAATAATTTATAAACTTATCACGCATAAATCAGAATAATTTTTCTATGATAAACGGTAGTAATAACATATTTCTTGGTTGACAAAGACATTTGTCGGCTCTACACAAAGAAGCACCGATATTATATTTTTTTTATATACGATTTTATTTAGGTGCGTTTTATATTTCTGTGGAACGTCGGCAAAGAGTTGAAGCACATTGCGTATACACAGTGTTTCAATGGATAATGTTGTTTATATATATATTTTTTTTAATTGAAATTGTTTTACATTCACATTCGAATAGCTGAACGAAACATAAAAATACATTAATTTTGTTCGATTATTGCAAATGGAACAATTAACATTCAGTTTTTTGTTGTTTTTATTAACCTAATATCTATGATGTAGTTATCGATATCTTCAGATTTTGAGGAATAATTGAACACTCTGTAGATCCAAGTACGTACGCGCAATAATATGTAAATATGTAAATGCATTTGGGTTGTATATCGGATATTTTAATGTCGTGAGTAAAATTGCATACACCAACCGTATCTAACCGGCATAATATGCTGTTGTCAACGGTATTATTATTTTTATAGACACGATTCAAATAACATTCAAACACATTTTATATGCATGATAACAATGATAATATCGAAAACTACATTTTTCCATAATCATTAAATTGATATTACGAAACTTTTGTTTAAAATTACTGAAATAGTAACTTGCGTGTAGATGTACATGACTTCGGTAAAATTTTTATTACCTATGATTTAGTTTGCACAATCGAAATTAAATTAAATTTAAAATGTGTCTGTAGAATGAAAATAGATAAATTTCAATGACAGATGTATACTACAAAAACGTTGAATAAGTACAATTTATTGGGTTATATTTTATAATCAGTTGTAGATAATAAATAAAAATTATATTGATAAGTTTTAACTTTGAAAATCAGTTGATAAATGGTTAAGTATTTAAATATGTTTATTTATAGTAATAATTCTCAAAAATAAGATTAGCATACTGTTTATTATTTTTATCTTGGTAACTGTGCTACATCATTAACATAATAATTGATAATAAAACATTAAAATTAAGAAAAAATAACAATAATATTAACCTGGAATAGGTACTTAGAGTATTCCAATTATTAGTTTTTGCTGAGCTATAGAGCTTAGCAACCTCGTACAATGACGATAACGTATTAAAAAATATTATTTACAGTATTTATTTTATAAGCTATTGATTCGGATGTACACATTCATGCTGTGATCAATAACAGATAAAGTGCAGTATTGCACAGAGTACTTACTTTCGAAACACTATTTTTGCCCAACAAATAATTATTTGCTCCGAACATAATTTTAATTTTAATATTAAAAATCAAAATCAATTTAAATATTTAGCTATTAAGCCAGTTTATCAAACATAAGTAACGTTTTCAGGTAGGGTACAAAAAAAAAAAAACCATCGGTAATTAACTAATTAAGTATTGCCATCGCTATAAACCTACATGACGTTGAGTTTGTTTGATTTTTAGCTACTGGTTGCAAATACTGAAATTATTTATGAACATTTTAAATATATTGATACATAATAGATCTCTTAGATAAAACCATATTAGACATCCGATGGCCCAGTTGTTCTAGCGAATCATGAATTTAGTAGTTTCACAACATTAATCGTTACATATTTTTAACAGACAACTCTTGGAAAGAAACAAATTTAATAAAGCTTTCGTTTTTTCTTGTTTAATTAGGTAAAGCATTCGATATCACGTACATTCGACTTCTGTTTTACTCACCGAGGCCCGAGAGTTTTGCTATTTATAAAAAAAGTACAGAAGATGGACCGTGGATACCGTATCAGTTCTATAGGTAAGTGAACTTAAATCGGTAGATATGAAGATCAATTGTTAAATTACTAAACTTGATTTATATAAAAAAAAAATAATAATAATAACTATTTTGTGTTAAATAATGGACAACATGTTAAGGTCTACGAAACATACAATTTTAATACATCACAATTATTTTATTGTATTCTTAATAATTTATGATTTTTGATGTTATTATTATTGCTGTTAAGTGTTTGACCTTAAGCTATACATGATAATATTGTGTTCATTTTTCTCAGCCAGAATGCATAATAAGAGGTTTTTAAAAAAAAGAAACAAATTAAAGTTTTACGCTACAACTCATTTGCGTTGACTGTTTAAATTATCTATACGTATAATTATTTACCTTGTATATAATCGATCGTTTTTTGTTTTGCTTTTAGTGGGAGTTGTAGAGACACCTACGGATTGCCAGACTTGAATTACATCCGTCTTGGTGAACAAGAGACCAGAGCGTTCTGTACTTCCGAGTTTTCAGATATTTCACCATTGACGGGAGGAAGTGTACCATTTTCTACACTAGAAGGTAGACCATCGGCTAAATATTATGATTCGAAATCGGAATTTTGGGTATGATCAACTATATTATGTCGTTTTTAAATATGTAATAACTTATAAATTATAATGAATAGTGTTATAAAATAAAATAATTTATAGATTTAAATTATGCATAATATAATCTTACAATTTAATTGAATGTTAGTATTATAAGATTAAATTACAAATTAAATAAAATCAGTATTATCATAATAGTTTAATAAAGTTGATTCAAAATTCTCTTAACAACATTTTTTATAAGAAACTGATTTTATATTAAATGCAGGCAACTAATCGTGCTTAGCTAAAGTTACATTTTTAATTTTTTAAATATTTTATTGAAATTGCCTATACCAAACTCCTTAACATATCATTTTATAATATTATAATCAATTATGATATTATGTGCCCTGAAATAACTATTGAATGTTATTTTTTATCATTTTTTTTATTATAAAAAAAATATATAATGTATAAAATAATGTTATATTATGTATTTTATATTTATAAAATATTTTCTATTTTAACCATGTACTATTTTAATGGTCAAAGTCAATTAATTAAACATTAAAATAAGATGTTTACAAATTTGTATTAAAATATTTTTATAAATAACACTGTTCATGAATATTATCGAGAAATCATTTGTTGTATCAACTTGTTCTTATCGAGTTGCAATAACGGTCCTGCAGGATATCGTTTATTTTATGAGTGCTTATACATTCTTTATATATTGTTTATATATTGTTGTAAGTATATTGTTTTATCGAATTTATATTTTAGGATTGGGTAACCGCAACAGATGTTCGTATTACGTTAGACCGTTTAAATACATTTGGTGACGAAGTATTTGGTGATCCTCAAGTATTAAAGTCATATTTCTACGCTATTGCTGATTTTGCTGTTGGAGCCAGGTGAAGAAGAATAATAATTATATAAATAAATTAAAAATATCACCTTGTAATTAAATCGTAAAGTTATTGGTTATCTTATTTTTAATTATTCGGTTTTTGAAGTTTTAAATAATTTCATTATACATTTTTAATTTTTAAACAGAAAAACAGTCAATTACGTAAATTTTAATTTATTTTTAAGAAAATCATACCATTTAATTCACCTAATGATTAGTGAGTTAATAATTTAAATTTTTGTTTTAACGATTCACGGTGTTGGTAAACAGTTGTTTGATCTTGACAATAAAAAAAAGGTTAACATAATTTTTAATTTTTAATTTTTTTTGTAATAGATGTAAGTGTAATGGACACGCCAGTGAATGTGTAAAAAGTACATCCATCAATGGCACATCCAGAAGAGTATGTCGGTGCGAACACAATACGGCGGGACCCGACTGCAACGAGTGTTTGCCATTCTTTAATGATGCGCCGTGGAGCAGAGCGACTGCATTAAATGCACACGAGTGTAAAGGTAATTGCATGCATGTCACATTTTTAGTTATGACGCTAGAGAGCGCTACCAATACATACCGGCTATGTACAACAATAACTTCAAATAACCAATAATTTATTTTGTTCCCCAGTCCTTCAACATCACCCAATATGTAATTTATTGTGATAAGTTTAGTGTGGTTTGAATTATTATTAAACAACCATGAGCTGAGAACATGACTAGTTTTCCTTTAAAAGAGCAAAATTGGAATTATTTAATTGTCACGTGAATTTATTATTGCGGAAAGACTAAATATCATCGTAAAATTATGTATATTTTAGTATGATTATTGTAAAAATATTGATGTGTAATAATGGATGTATTCAAAAATCAAATCAACCGATAATAAGTCAAAAATTGCTGAAATTTTTTTTTTTGAAAGATATTCGTCATTAAGCATTGCAGGAAATACAGGTTATCAGTTAGCTTATATTTATTTTTATCATACAATTTTAAAGGTAATCTGTTTATTCATAGTACCAAGACGTTTCATTCACCTATTCAATAATAATTGTTGATGTTTCTACTTGCAACTTTATGCTCGAACTCATTAATTTTATTACTAGTATTTTTGATTATTGAATAACTGTTGTTTTTATTCGCAATAATTATAAGCTTAATTAGGTATAAACTACTATAAAGTTAATCGGATTTCATTGCACTTAACATCCTCCATTTTTGATTGAAGTGATGGCAGTAGCTTGTTAGGCTCATGCCAATTACACAATACATATTATTTTATATGGCTTTCATTTTATTATTTTTTCTTATTGTTCTCGAGGCAGTAATGTTTACTTTATTATTATTATATTTATATAGTATAATTATATATATATTAATATTATTGGTTTGATATTTTTTCGTTAAGCTTTCTATTACAATGTACCGTTGACTGATCAAATTGTGGTAATTTTTTTGAGTACCTTTAAAATTAAATCGAATCAGTACATTTTATTCAGTTGAGTCATTTTAATTTCTGTATTTATTTATTTAAATTATTCAAACATCATTATTTTTATACTCATTAACTTATTAAAAAAATGTATATTGCATTATTTTACAAATTATGTCGAACAGGTGTATAAAGCATTTTATAAGACCTTGTTTATATGTACGAGATAATTTATTACATTTTATTCGATGTGTTTTAGGTAATTGAGAAATTTTTAGTGTAACAAAAAAAAAAAAAAAAACCGACAAATTGCTGTGATTTACTTAGAAGGCTAATGTAAAACCGGTTCATTATTTAAATATATCTAACACAATTGAGTGTAATTTATGTATTGCAATCTAAACAATAACAGCGTTGATAGATACTCTCAGAATTCGTGTGTGACGAAGGCGTGACAAAGATTGCTGTCTCTCGTCTACATGGCCGGTACATGATACATACAAAGAATAATAAACTGCTTTTCGCCGATGAACTGCTTTTTGTCGTGTCTGTTCCGAAAAAAAAAAACACTCGCGAGACATGGATACCAGTCATTCTTGTGATTAATGCTACACCAACACGTGTTTATTAATATGAGATTATGTATATTTTATGCATGTTACTTACATAATGTATAAGTAGTAGATTTTTTGAAGTGTGTGACAAAATTGTTGGGTACGTCCATTTTTCGATAAAAATCCAAAATAGGTACGTGCTTTAATTTCATACATATATGTTATTGGTATTATTATATTTTTGTAGTAAGAACGTTTTTCGCTATTCTGATTGTGTACTTCTATAATATGTTGTTATTAGCGAAATATGGAACTAGTATTATACATTTTATATTTGTATCATAAAAATTATCAAGAAAAACTTAAAACATTAAATATTAAAAATCGCATTACATATTTAGACACAAAGCTGTTTCGATGTATCATGAATATTGTAAAAAAAGCAAATTAAGAGTTAAAAAAAAAAAAAAAAATCTATTACAATAATTACCTACAGTAATATTTTTTTCGCGGTTTTGTGTAAATGGTTATTTCTTTGATAATTAAATAATATTGTTTTTACGAACGATCAATATAGAACGGTGTTACTAACATTATTATTAACAAAACTGCAGCACCTGAAACCGGGTTATTAGTCTAAAGCATGACGATAGGGTGCGTGTCTCATTTGCAAAAATACGCCTCTCCCCACTCTCGAACGAAATATTATTGACTTTTACGTATAGTACCTATAGCATGTAATAGTAAACATCATACCGCAGTGTTTATACTGTATAGGAATGGGGCGATAACGGTCGCACGTGATGAGAAATAGTGAAAATATGGTTGATATCCTTGGTCAATGCTGTTCGTCAGCGCCGCTGTCATTGGTACAAGTATGATATATAGGTATTAATAGATAAGTAGATATAGGATATACCTACATTTTCACGTTGTGTAGATAGGTACCTTATACACGCCGCGGCCGGGTATCGTCGTTGTCGTTGTCCTCGTCGTCAGTAACCCCGTTATGTTGTGTTCTTCATCTGGTATACCGCCGTCGTATACGCACGCGGATACGGTGTGCCGGCAGAAGGGGAGTTAAGTGTAAGAAAAAAAAATTGTGAAAAAAAAAATTGCAAACAGGTCTAAATGAAAACGGTACGAAAACAGAGTATACGTATACGATGGAATTAAAAGAGACTGGTTGCCGAATATGGTGCAGTTGCAATGGTTTCTCAGAACGACGACGTAGCTCCGTACTGTGCATTTGTGTGCATGTACCTATACATGTGCGTGTGTGTACTTGTGCGTATTATATATATATATGTATACGCGGTACGCGTTTATCGTGACAAAACGGACATGCCATCGCGTACGGGACCTGATTGGAGAGAAGTCAGGATTTCCACAGGAATTTCTTCTCCAAGGTCCTGGATGACACTTTGTCTTCAATATTACATACCTATGTATATATAATACGGAACGGGCGTTACGGTTTTGTCGAGTCGTCTAACGCAACAAATTACATCGATGCATTTTGTCGACGTTTTTGTATACTTTGTAATTTGTATGTACGTATATAATATGATAACATTGATAACACTATAGGTACATGATATTATACTGTCGTTCGAATATATTTATAATTTATTATTTAGTTACGCCTATATGTATAATATTACTGCGGTTGTCGAATAAAATAAAATTCTTGAGAGTTATACAGTTCAGTCTCAGATTTTTAATTATATTTATGACTGCAAAATTCCCTCTGATGTATCAAATTGAGTTCGATAAAACAGCTTTAATAGTGTTGGTATTGGATTGTCGTATTTTTGTATCAATATACCTACGTCATATTTTATTATTAACGATATTTTATAAGTATAATCCGAGATGACATGACTATTTTTATAATGTAATAATAATCAGACAGTAATATAGTCGACCGTGGGTACTTGGAGCATTATTTGATAATACTACTACTAATGATAAAATATAATATAAATTTATTTAATTAGTTATTAATATTTATACTCTACTATAATATTGTATTTGATATATTTGTATTCTGGTATGCATAATAGTTTATACAATTGGAAAGAAATTGTTTTTTTTTTTTATTTTTACTATTTTTTTGACTCGATTAAGTATTACTTTTTGCACTCAATTACATTATTTGATGGACCAAATTTGAATTAAATTAAGTCCACGCAGAACTCGACTGTAATACGTTTAAGTATTGTAATTTGCGTCGAGTCTGTTTTTCATGTTCATTTTATACACCGCTGAGTAGGTACCGACTTGTTTAAGTACATTACAGGTACTATAATCTTTTGTGTTTTCATTTTGAAATGTGTTATTGCAAATTTGCATAGTATAATAATAATTGATTACTTGTTGAAACATCATCTTAACAAAGTTTTTTCTATCCATGTCCAAAAACCTTAAACATCAACTTTGTTAAGTGGATATAGCTAGGAAAGGCTGCTGTTAGTATTTTTCGTGATTGATATCTAATCTTCTATTTCCATAAAACAGTTTTCTACATAGAATGTGTATAAGTGCTTGTCATGTTTTCTGATCTACATAAACTATGAACGATTCGATTCCAATACTTCCATATAAGGCATTGCATAGATATATATATAATATGATGGTTTCCATTGAAAATATTGAGGCGAATCCTGTAAGTCTTATCAGCATACGATTTTTACATGACAATAACATACGAGTTAGGTAGATATAAAACTATAAAATGTTTATACTGCAAACACACGTGCACATTTTTTCATTGTTCGTTTCACACAACACTTCAAGTCACTTATTCCGCGGCTCATACTAATAGATGTTACGCTCGGCATGACTGTAATATAATATTATTTCGTCCATATTATTATAGAGAATGTATAAGTACTCATAAAATAAACGATATCCTACAGGACCGTTATTGCAACTCGATAAGAACAAGTTGATATAAAAAATGATTTATCGATAATATTCATGAACAGTGTTATTGGAATAATTCCAAAATACCGGAAAAAGTTTTACCGCAGTCGTTCAGGTACATAAAATGTTTCTCCCGCCATTACCTCCCCGCAGAATAGTGTCTTCGTGTATGCCTTACACCCATGAATAATAAAATTATGTTATAAGACCATTATATCGAGCTCGATTGAAATCCCCAGGCGAATCTGTTGATATAAATAGGTTTACGTCCGACCATGTGCGCGCGCGCAATGTGCGGAAGTACACCCCGTTATTAATAATAATATGCATAATAGTTTATAGTTAAATACATATACGTATTATAATATTATACATTATAAATATATTGTATATGAAGAGATGGCGTATGGTATTCATTTACTACAGCCATAATAATATCCGCAACATTCTTTCGTGACACTATTTTTTCATGAAAAACGTATCGATTGCACATTTAAGGTGTCCCAGCCGTAGGTCATCACGACGTTTAAATAACCGTAGTAAGCCTATGTTTATCGTTCTTATTGCCCAATTTATAATGCTCATTGCTCACCATCTCCGCGGAT